GCCAGCAAGGGTTAACAAAACAAATCTGAACTGTCTCTCAACAAAATATATAATGTTGCACTATAGGTTAATATTTTCTATATTTTCTTACATCTCATAGCAACTTCTCTTTTATTCATTCACTGTTTGAGGTCTGCTTGAATTTTTTACGTAAGAATCATGTAGTAGTCATCAAATCATTCAGTGCTTGACAGGAGCTCTGACTCTGCTGTCACACTACACTGATTTACTGAATTGGACTGAAATTGATGTTTGCTCATAGAAACTGGTGGATGAAACCCATCTATTTACTGCCTGGATCAGCGCGTCTATGCTACTGAATGTTGACAACTTGTTTTGTAAATATGACAAAATTGGTCACGCTAATAGGCATCAATAGACTGAAAGTGTCAGAGGAATTGTAGGCATCAAAAAGAACTCCACTTTATTATTACACATAAAATATGTATACAGACTGTTGCACCTCATGTACAGAATGATGTTGTGACTTTTTTCACACACACACACACACACACACACACACACACACACATAATGTACAAACATACAAACAACCTTCCTATTGACAACAAAATCATGACGTCCTGTTTCCTGCAGGCTGTTTTCCTGTAGTGTGACCCCCTTCTACCACCACTCTCCACCCCACGCTCCAACAGATGTCCCCTGCTGAGTGTGTAACAAATTTACAGCAACTCTTCCTTCCTATCAAAGAGAGAGGCTATGTTGTGTGTAAGCACGTGGGGGCATCTCACCTTTTAGCACTAATTATTGCCTACCAAAACCTTCAGTATAAAATCTTAAGAAATAAAAAGTTCTTTAACTCATGAACTTTGAGAAACATTACAGTGGAAGTCCAGTATTTATAGAGAATCTTTACAGAAGAAAGCGTTGTGTTAGGACAACTCTGGATATTACACAGTGTTCTTTTTGTTTCATCCCCTACCTAACATTATTGGCTTAGACCCGCATATCATGTATCATTGCACTCTTGTACTTTATATACCTTTACTGTAGTGGAAAAGTATGTATTGGTAAAATAAAAAGGGTAATAATTATGGAGTTGATATCCTCTGTCTACCTCTGCCACAGCTTGTAGACACATGCAAACACCCTTTTCGTTCATCATACCTCATGCCCTATGAGGTGTGATAGCATTCATTTAAACTCTCTTTGCACTCTGTGAGCTTTGAGAGGCAAAATGTTGACAAATTAGCACTTAAATACCCTGAAAATATGCAGAAGGGTGTTGCAAATTGTATATTTATCAACTCAGTCATTGACTGGATTTGTGTAAACCAGAAAAATGTAAGAGGCAAAAAATTAAGAAGGTGTTCAGCTATCTCAGGACAGATTGCTGTTTCAAATACAGTCTGTGTTTTGATTTCCTCACTTTAAGAGGACAGAAGAAGATCCAGACCGAACACCAGGATTTGCTTTGGATTCTCAGAGTGTGGCAAAATTGTCTATAGTAGCTTTATTTCGCCAATACATTTTTTCAAACACATCAGTAATCCATCTTTCATGTATTTCCTGTGCTCTATCCACATCTGTTCCCTTTTTTATTTGTCTGTAGTTATTATTGTCTATCTGTCTGTCAATCTGTCTGTCTGTCTGTCTCAAGGACTCATTACTAGTTGATGGTTAGCTAACCCATGGAGCCAGCTGGATTCCAGCACTGGTCTACACTAATTGCCTTCGGCCCTAAATCAGCTCTTACACACATGCACAAGCACACAATTGTCTCGCACATGCACACACACACACACACACACACACACACACACACACACACACACACACACACACACACACACACACACACACAAACACACACAATCATCACACACATTACTCTGGTTGCCTGCAGTCCTAAATGAGCGCCATAAAGCAGAGAGGGGGTCGGCTCCAGCCTTCCTCGAGGGCCACTGTTGCCTCCTGATACAGATTGTAGCCTCACCCCGACTAAGAATGCCTTGTTCAAACGCTAGGCGTTTATGGCAGGTGATACCCAGGGGAAAGGTCAGAGTCCAGGTCAGAGGGAGAGATTGTCTTGGTCAGTAGGAAGTAAAAGGCCGGCGGGTAGGTAAATACTGTGAGATGGATGTGGAGGATTGTATGTACTGTTGTATTTTCATTCATCTTACATGTTTTCCCCCTTTTGTGTCTGTTTCTCTCTTTACAGTGATTCTGAAACAGATACAATCACTGCAGAGGCTTTGACACACGTTCAAACTCTTTTCATACAGTGACAATTAACTGAGCATGAAAGTTAATTCTTCAACACAGAAATATAGTTATAGAAATATATAGTGGCAAAGACCCACTTAGTTTTTTCTGGAGTTTTCAACCTGATCTCACTGTCTTCATTTGGGTATTGTTTTTTTTAAAACAATGCCTAACTCATCATTTTGCATTCCGTAATGTTTATAATGGTTTTAATGTCATATACTCTTAATTAAACCAATAAAAGATTCAAACTACATTTAGAGTGGAAATTGGGGTATTTCTATAGTGAAAGAATGCATACAGTCAGCATGAGTCAGGCAGTATGATGAGTGAATTTGAGGCAGATTTTTTGTTTTATATTGGTTAGATATTTGATGATTTTAAAATAGTTAAACACTTTTTTCAGTACTTTCTTTATTTTCTTTTATTTCTAACTGTTAAACTCTTTATAAAAGCGCATGTGTTGCTTTTTAAAATTGTTGTTATAATGCATCATGTCTTCCAAACATCATATGCAAATTATATTACACTAATTTGTTGGTACATAGTAATAGTACCTCAGCCATACAATTATCAGCATCTTCCTATTGCCCAGTGCTACTGAAGCAATTAAGCCTTCTATGGAGAGGTGGTGAGAGATGAATTGTGTGTAGTGCGTTTACAACTGGTGTGCAGTTTCACCTCTATGGTGTGGACTGACATTGGGTCAATGCTGAGTGAGATCTCATCCGCACCGTAAGGTTTGCCTACGGGTTTGTGTGTGTAATCCAGCTCTTTTCTTTCCCTCCCAGCTTCCAAACTGTGTAGATACGGCAGGACTTTATTGGATAATTGTGTGTTTGTCGTTGTTCTGGCTCAGAACTCCAGCACATTGGATCTAACATGAAATATTGACTCAAGGGTTCAAGTGCAAAATATCAGTTTTGAGGGTATTTTGTTTTCCATTCCAGGTGAGCAGTCTAGGACTCAGCTCATTTTAATAATTTAAACAACTTTAGGACATTGGTCGCAAACATATACAGACCAGGCAACAATGATGTTTTTATGGCCTGAAAGTGTCAGTGTCTTGACTGAGCTTGTCATTCACCTCAATTCATCTCAAATTAACTTGCTGAAGACCAGACTGAAGGCAAAAAGTCTCCTAAACTAACACAAAATGAAGCTGGCTGCAGTACGAGCCATGATAAGCCAATCCTGTCTCCTATACACAAATGGTATCAAACTAGCTATGATCAGACAGTGAGTGTAAACATGTACCATGTAATATTTGTATGTATGTATGTGTGTGTGTGTGCGTGTGTGTGTGTGTGTGTGTGTGTGTGTGTGTGTGTGTGTGTGTGTGTGTGTGTGCTGTCTGCATGCCAGTCCCAGAGCACTGAAGCATTACACTTGGGTACACATTGACCAAGTGCCCAGCAGCCAACGCCCTGGAGAACAGACTGGGCAGTGTAAGAGCCCACAGGAAATATGTGTGCGTTTGTGTGTGTGTGACTTGAAGAGAGGAAGTCAGACGGAGAGTTTGCACAGGTGTGTGAAGGGTGTGTGTGTGTGTGTGTGAGTGCGTTTCAGGTCTTGCAGCCGAGCTTGCCCTTTGAAACTCCCATGTAATGCTCTTTCTCCTTCCGTCTTTGAACATATCCCATGCAGAGGACCAGTGTGTTGAATATAAAGTTACAAAGAAGGGACTCTTTGTGTGTTTCAGCAGCTGCAGGAGACTCTTAGTGCTCTGGTTACTGCTAGACTGTCATGTTAAAGCACAAAATCAAGGTGAGGCTCAGAAAAGTGAACAGGACATACTCTCATTTTCCTCACAACTACTGTAGATCTACTTGAAGGTTCTTTTTAAAGTAAATAAGTCTCTAAACAGTGGTTTGCTTTGGTTGTGTGAACAGGAAAAACAACTCAAATATTGAAACATTGCAGTGTAATACTGCATACTAGTGTATTATTTCTGTTCAAGCATAACCCAACCCAAAGATTTAAGATATTTGAGGCAGATACCATGGATTTCAGATGTGATATAGCAAATGAGGAATGGAATGAGGTCTTCAAGAATGTCTAACTAAAACGAACTCAGCTTAAAATATTATGTAACCCAGCTGGACCAGATGGGTTAAAATACAAATAAACAATCAAACTATTGCCTTTTAACTTAATACTTCTTCTGTTATTAAAAACTACGGTTGTTCCGCCCCTTGCTATGATTGACAGGAAGTTTTGGGATGCATTTTGCGAGCAGGAAGAAGTGAACGTGACACAGAGAACGAGCACCTCCGAGCCTCCATATTGAACTTGAAGTAGATGCTCTGTGTAATAACGTTGAGCTTCATAAGAGTTGCAAGTCACAACAGTTATTGAGGTTGAGCAGTTGCCAGCTGAAAGGGAAACAACAGATCCACAAGTGCCGGTTTCATCCAATTAGCTGCGATTTACTTGCCTCTGTAAGATAGCTTCCATGTAAAGCTAGTATTTCTAGTATTTTAGTAGTTCAGTAGTTTATATTAAATGTTTAAAGAGAAACATTTTGATACTTAAAGTGTACATTTTATTGTAATATTCACCATCTTACTAAAAGAGGGGGAAAAAAACAAAATTTCCTTTCACTTACTCCTCATGTTGCCTGATAATTGAATAATTTGCCTCGCAGTATTTTGTTTAGAGATTGTGTGTTATATTTTGTTTGACTGTTACTTTTTAATGTGTAAGATAAATGGTTGGACTCATGATTAATACTTTAATTGTGGTAAAAACTGGGACAGTTTGGTGTTTTACAGATATTTGGCGGGACTCAGGACACCCAGCTTGAAACCAGAACAATCACAGGGACAAACAGGGATGTCTTCTCACCGCAGACCAGAAGGCCATTTAGGTTGACCGGAGGAGCACTTGGGCCAGTTGGAGGGCACACTGACCAACCAGAGGGCATTTGAGCCAACCAAAGGGGTCGTTGGGCCAATCTGAGGGCATGTGGGCCCCTCAAGTGTCCTTCTGGTGGGTCATTAGGAGAAAATGAAACAAGGAAGTGTCACATTAGGGCACAGACATGACCTCTTTAAGTCAAACAAAAGGCCTGGGGTAATTACCCCTGCAATATCCCAGTTTCATATCATCTTATAAATTTCAGGTTATTCTGATTAAGCTTTTTTTTGTGTGCCAATTTTCTCCCTCCATTTTGAGTGCTGTGTGTTACCATGGTGATGTAATACACTCCTCTCTTTCACTCCTATGGGGGATTGTTGTCTTAGCAATATAAATTCACAGGCTGGAGTAGATAGATAACACACAATACAATGCCAGTCTGCAGGCCACACACACACACCTGGGTGGTCCTTCAAGAGCTACAAGGGTTAATGACAGTCCTGTTTGGAGGGATTGACTCCTAAGCCACAACCACACACACACATCCATATACACATAAACACAGGCACATACACACTCTCACACACAAACTATGACTAACAACAACAACAGTGATGTGCTGGTCAGTCAGTGTCTGTAGACGACTCTGACTTGTTTGCTAGTTGTTTGATGGTCTTCAGTGTGTGTGTATATGATTGGTTCACTGCAGTCATCTGATTTTCCACTCACAGAAATCTACATGAAAATAAAAGGCCTGTTAAATAATAAGCACAACTCGGTTTCAACAGCAGGATTTTGGATGTAGAAGAATGATCACTGCACTGTAAATAAGGCCTTCCTAATTTGTTCTACATGGTCGCCTACATCTCTGCATGAAACAGTTCACAAAGGACAATGAAACTGATAATGATGTCAGACACATTGTGGCTGTGGAGGGAATCTGATTACGTACTGAATGTAAACTGGTAACTAAGGGCTTAAACACTTAACCACATTATCAGATTATCCGTCTTAACCAGACTACTCACAGTGATCAAAACAAAGTTTCACGCACCCAATCACGAATTACGAAGACAACTTTTTGTCAACTTTTTCTGTGGTAACATATTTCATTAAAGCTGCCACCATCTAGACATCAGACACAGGAAAATATGTAAATAAGAATGTAATGAAACTAAATTGTGAGTGCACCAGTAACAGAGGGCAGGAGGGGGACAGAAAGAGACCAGCTGAGACTCAGTTGTGTCTGTCCCACTCCTTACTAGATTCTTTTTCGTTTACCAGCTGAAAAGAGGACGATGAAAAAGGGATTCTGCTGTTTACTTTTTGTATTGGTTTTTCATTGTGGACCTGGACATGCTGTCGTGGATCTTTTTCACATGTAAACAGTGTTTTAGAAGTTAGATACATTATGACTTTGTGTGAAACAATACGACCAGAACTTCACCAGTGTTGAGACATGTGTAGGTAGCGGGACAGAACAGTAACAATATGTCGAAACTGTAATGTGACTACCATAAAACTTCAGTTAATAGCAGGGTCCCAATTAGATGCAGATCTCCTTTAACAGTCTGGTGTGGTCAATTAGACACCTAGTCTGGATTTTATAGTTCTTCGGATGTATAAAACTTCTTATAGCCTGCTTGAGCTAGTTATAAGCTGCATTTTTATACAAATAACATTCATATTGATTTAAATAAACAATTTGATAGATAGATATATCCTATTTTTGCTGGACAAGCTTTATGTACAAAATGATCAAAATGTTCCAAATAAAAGCAGGTTGAGTTCAGTGATTAAGGCCAATAAAAGCCTGGGCTATTAATTGAAGTTTTACAGCATACTGATCCTTAGAGTACAGCTAAATATATCAGCATGTCAGAAATGTTTTTTGTTTACTTGTTCTCTATATGTAAAGGTTTTTGCTTTTCAACCTGTGCTCAACACGCCACTGTTGTATGTTTTTATTTATGTATGCGACAATGGTAACATCCTGTTACCATTACCAGCTGCAGAAGTTGTTGTGGCTGAAGTGACGTGTTACTGGAAAAACCTCATAGTCTTCATAGCTCTTCAAATCGATGAAGTCATACTTCTCTAAATCTCCTCTCACGCCTTCTAGGTTACACATACATGTTTGTGAGTTTCTGATGAGGGATGTTTTCAAACGCCATTAAACAACGAGAGGATTTAGCCAAATAACATGATTGGTCACAGATGTGGTACCAGCTGTAAACCTCAGCGAGTTATTCTTCATTGGTTGCTATGCCAACTCTGCCTGTCACCATGGAGCTAGTGAGCCATCATTCTTTTCTCCTCTTTGATAATCTTTCATATTACAGTTAAAAATACGGGGGAGCTACGGGGGAGCTCGGCTCTCCTGAAAGAGACATTAGCCTCATTAGAGAGATTTAGGGGTAGCTCTAAAATATTGTAACCTTTCTGAATAAATGTTCCTGTACATTTAGGTTCCTAAAATAAAAAAAAAAGCTAATAGTCAACATGCATATTTATTTGTGCATTACAGATTTGTGTCACAATGCTGTCTACTGCTGCTGTGGTCATTCAGTAAACTTTTTAGGCACAATATTTGGGTTGGTAGTTGTTGTTTAAAAGCTATAATGCCCTTGATGGTATTGTATACAAAAGAAAACATCATCTGCTGTATTATTACTGCTGTACTGTTTCTATGAAGTCTTGTGCTTTTTGAGATTTTATTGAATGTAAATATTTAAAACTTCTTTTATTTTTGTTTATTTGAAAGTGTAAATAAATCGCTAAAGGAGGAAAGCGGGGGGAAGGGAAGGTCTAAGATGACAACAAATGGAGGGCTGTGTGTGTGTCTGCCTGTAAAAACAGCTGCTAGTTTTGTTTTGGGAACCAACATCATCACCACACACACACACACGCACACACACACACGCACACCCATACTAACACCCAGACTGAGCCAAGTAACCCAAAAGGAGAGAAATGCGCTTGTCACGCACCTTCCCCACCCACTCCTTTGCAAAACAAAAGCCAATCACTTTGGGTTTGTATTCACACTGTGGTACACACAAACACACAAAATACTTATGGCCCTCTTGTCTTTCCACTCAAACGCTAAGACATATTCTTTGTTTTTGCGTACAAATACTCACACACATATACAAACTCAAGCACTCCCCTCCCACAAACACGCACACAAGAACATCCACAAACAAACACTTACTCTTGTTCTTCCATTCACTGACTCATTTCAAATAAAAGCCAGGAACGCTGTAGGAAACTCTAGATATTCAAACCCACTAATTTAGATCACATTTTACACGTTTTAAATCAGCGTAATCACATTTTTTTTTTGGTTGAAATGCATTGTTTGCTTCTTAAGTCGTGCTTCGCAAAGTAACAATTTTATTACGCATGCAATATGCGCGTGTGTGTGTGTGTGTGTAGGTGCCAAGGGTTGGACCAGGGCTTGGTGCCAGCGTGGATAAAGAGCAGATGGCGACCTTGACAGGGCAGAAAACCTCCAGTTCCCACATTCTCCTGTTCTATTCAACCTTCACTCCTATACTTCCAATGGCAGCATGGCATGTGTGGCAGGGATTGCTTAGATTTATACTTGAATGCGCCATCGTTTTTAAGAAATAAAAAAGGAACAAAAACGTCTGCTCTCTTGTGCATACTTTTTCTTTTCATGGGGTAATCATACAAGTTATGGGAACTGGGCAATTATGACCCCTTTGCCATGATAAGAGAGTGAACAGTCTCATGTATTGTAGACTTGAATGGAGGTTAGGTGGCTGATTAGCAGAAAATCACCACTGTCTTAATATACAAATATACTTGATCTGCATGATACATTTACAATGCGCACTTTTAAGCATTAATTCAACAGTCTTTCCATATTCTCTTTATTATTTTTGCTTCATTTGACATCAGCTCAGCACAGAGACTGATTCAAAAAACCCTATTTTACTGTCACAAAATCCTATCAGAGACTGGAATCTGATCTGCATTGAAATGCAGATCAGATTCCAGTCTACCTTCAAATTGTATTTTATAACACACCTTTTTTTGCCGCTGGGTTGATTGTCAGCCACATCAACAACAAATTTGAACTGACACTTCGAGGAGCATCGAACCAGCCTGGAGAAATATCTGCAAGTAAATGGTGATCACTAGTTATAATTCACAAAGGGTAAGACCACAATCCAATAGCAGCAAAGTCCCTCCATCCAAGGCAAACTTTATTTAGTCATTAAAAAAAAAGGGAAGAAATGAACAGGAAACAGTTACAGGACTGTAAAAAATGTGAACTATGAATGTGAACTACATAATTTTATCCTGTTTGAACTGAAGTTTGAGGTGGCTCTTGTGGAGTGCTAACTTGGAATAGTGGATAATACCGGATGTTATATTTTTCTGTGTGATTTCTGTGTGATTTGTATTTGAATAATTGTATATTTGTATATTTGTATTTGTATATGTATATATTTTTATGCACCAACTGCACCAGGTCACATTCCTCATAGGCATAAAAACCTACTTGGCAATAAACAAATTCTGATTCTGATTCTGATGTTGTATTTTGGGTATTTTATAGGTTGTTTGTTGCCTTACTTGTCTATTGAGTTTCTCCAAACCTGTTTATCGTGTTTCTTCTTCGTGGAGTTTCTGACGGCTTGTGTAAATATGTTACACTCCTGAAAGAAAATTAGTTAAAAATGCTCATGTTTCACTTTTAAGGCTTCAGTGGTATGAACTATGTTAGTATGTTAGTAAAACGGTCCCAGTTGGACTAGTTTCAAAGTTGCAGTGTTGCAAAGGTGTTTTCTTTTTATCCTGGTTCTAGACCCCTGACTCACCTTCCATATATTAGATATATTCAGTTATTCAAATAGATCTAGTGTTGTGTCTATTGATTGCCTTTTTTCGTTCAGTTATGGGAACAATTGACCAATCAGAGCTTTTTGTTGACATGATTGAGAATGTCATCTCCCTATAGAGTTACAGCTACAAATGGCTACATTAATGAAAAATGGCCACAGAAAAATAGCAGCAAGCGAGCAGCTGTATAGGTTCAGAAATAACTCTTACATCAACATATTTCTTTGATAAATGTTAACATTGTGACAATGTGAATTGAACAGCTTCCATGTCAACTAAAATGATGCTGGCGGGGCGGATGCATCACTTACTGATTGTTTGGGGAAATACAATAAAGTGACATACATTTTTATAATGTTTGCAACATTGCACTCAGCAAGTGTCAGCAATTTAATTTGACATTATCCTCTGATCTACCAACTTTATATAACCAAATAGTGACTCTAAAAAGTAGCAGCTGACATAAGTCTTTGTTACAGTGAATATCTTTTCTGAGAACTTGATGATCTCTCATTCATTAGAACTATTTAGGCGGCAATTTCCCCAAAATGTACATACAGCTTATACTGCAGTCGAGAATGACATGTTTCATATTTAAAAGTAAGTGGGTAGTTTATCTCGCTAAGCCACAAACATTTCTTCACATCCTGTTTCTTGAGAAAGAAGAAGGGGATCACTGAGACAGACGGTGAGGAGGACATGAAAGATACAAGAGAGGAAATGAGGGATGTATCTGAGGACAAAGACAAAGATGGCTGAAGAAGAAGTGGATCGTGAACGAACCTTCTGCCTCTTCGCACTGGTGGATTCCCGGGCCAAAGGTCAATTTCTGCTCCTTTCAGACAGACACAGTGACATTTAATTACCTGACCTATCTAAGTAAATTTGTTTGATCCAGAGGTTTAGCAGTAATTTCTGTGTACTCGCATTTGCAGAATGATGGAAAACCAATAACCTGTGAGACCTGTGGCACTCTGAGGTGGAAAAACATCAACTCGAAGAGTCAAAGGATGCTGAAATTTGCCTTTTGTTCATTTATGTGAAATTGCTAAGATGCGTAGAGAAAACGCTATAGCAGATTGGAAAGGCTCCACAACACAGCTGGTGCTGTTATATAGTCTGTGAGAGTTAAAACAATCATAAATCACACTTGACATTAGTGATGGCTACGTTTTCATTATATCCAAGAAAAAAAATATAGCAGTGATTTTTAATTGACTTCTCCACACGCCAATAAATTTCAAGTGATATGATAATCAAATGATTATGATGTGGAATGAGGAGTGAGACATTTTCATTCATTAAATCTTTCCCTTATGCAGATCAAAACACTCCATTTGTATCCACTATACTAATTCAATCTTCTGAGATAAAAATGAAATGAATACTTTCACCAGCTACGCAAGTGGGGCAATCACCCCTGTGGTAGATTAAACATGATAGAGTGCCCTCAAGGGTGCCGTTCCATTTCCATTACCAATTTTTTTAAATGCGCCGAGTTGTGCCACGCCACGCCTCACCAAGATGGATCCTCTCTGGAGTAAGGACTATGGACTAACTGAATCTCTGTTGTTTGAAGTTAGTTTCTCTCCTACTCCTATCCCTGTTTGGACTCAGATATTTGCTTTATTTTACTGTTTCATGTTCACTTTCAGCTGTATAGGAGCTGCTAATGAATAATTTCCTGAATATGCTGCTTCATAATAAAAGCTTTTAAATAAGAACCTTGAACTTTCATTGTAAGGAATTTATAGGATATTAAATGTGCTTATCCCCAATAAGCTGAGCTTAGTTAGTCTACATACTGCAGGGAGGAAGTTGGCCATGTTTATCTATGCTTTAGAAAGTAAGCGCTGGGAAACAATCAGAAAAAAACTTGATTGACTTCTTTGTTCTCGCTAACGCTGGTCCCCCTCTTCGTTCAGTCTTGAGCTCTGCTGACCATCGCTGCTCTCTCTGCCTGACACGCCTTTAAGCGGGTAGCCCTGTTGTAATGGAGACACAAATTCCTGCCGCACTGGGCTGGTGTGCCGAGTCAGACTTAGTCAAGCCAGCACATGTGTATAGAAAAGGGCCATAGGGTGCTAATCCTAACCTGACCATAAATACATCCCAACTTTCTCCGTGCTGGTGACCTTTAAAGGTTTTTTTTCCCTCTGCCCCTCAAGCCTGAGTCTGCCACTGGTTTTTCCATAACTATAAAATGATTAAAAGTCCTAAAAGCTTTTTCTTTGTTTCCAATTTTAGAAAAGTACCATATAACTGTAAGTCTCAATGACTGCTATGCACCAAAGAGAGAATATCACTAGATCATTTCATCTTGCCTACAGTATGTATGTGTATCAAAGAGCGAGAGAGACAAAGAAACAGAGAGACAAAAAGACATAAAAAAACAGAAAGACAGATGGCCATGTACTGTATTACCGATACAAACACTGATAAACAATAAAACCATAGGCTCTTGGCATCAGGAATACCTAAAGAACCTGATTTGATGGCCCCGCTTAGGTCGGCATTTGTTTCAGTCCTCCACCCTTTGCTCCCCATCTGGCCTCCATTGTCTGGTAGCCCTGAGCGACAGGTGGTATTGTTCACACGAAGACATTTAACGTGGTGGCACACTCCTGAGTGCTTGTCCACACACACACACAGAGACATGCACACTTACACACACACACACCAGCTACTTTACTAACCTGTTTCCTGTATGTGTTCCTACCAGACGAGCGGTGTCGTGCCAGGAAGCGCGCTGTCTCATCAGGTCACGTTGCTTCTAGCAGGTGTCTCGCTCATGAAATTTCCCATGTGAAACCGACATGGCTGAATGTGATTTGTCCTGCCTGGTTTCCTCTTATTATCATCCAACTTTAAAACGTGTTTCGTGACATTTTTATTCTTCTCGGAGAAGATGAAACAAAAACAAAAAGTGATTTTCAGAAGCAAGAAGGAGCTTGGACCTCAACTTTTCTTTCACTTTTAAGGTAACGATTTTAATACGAGATGGTGAGAATCCCCCCAAAACTTACAAGTAAAGGAATAAGGAATCATTGAAATGTTATTAACTTTGTTGGATCACCAAATCAGGATATTAGCCATCAGCTAGTTCCATCTCGACTTACCTACAAACTAAGCCAGTCATCCTCATTCAAGAGCCCTAAACAAAAAAAGGGATTAAATACCTATGAAATTTCTTTCTTTTATTTATTTCATCTTTTTCTACCATATTTAGCTGCACTAGCAGCGTGGTTTTAAGGCTGGCCGTCTTGGTCTGGCAGTCAGCTCCACTGATCTAGACTAAATGATCTCAACAGCTATTGGATGGATAACCATGAAATTTTGTACAAACATTTATGTTCCCCTAATGTTGAATTGTAATACTTTTGAGAACCCCCTGAATTGTCATATAGCGCCAGCATCAGGTCAAACTTTTCATTTAATATGACCAAATAGCTCCAAAACTAATGACATTCAGCCGCAGCTCTACCTCATGTTTAGTTAATATATTACACAACATCTCTGTGTTCGCATTGTCACTCTGAGCATGTTAGCATGATGGTGTCAAAACACCTCTGCTTATTCACTGTAAGACTAAATCATATTCATATCTACGGTATATTTGTGTGTGTATCAGAGCAACACTTCTAGACACTGTTAATGTTTAGGTGTTTGTGCATGTGTGTGTGTGTGTGTGTGTGTGTGTGTGTGCTTGCGTTGTAGCCAGACTGACTTTAGGCTGTCAGTGCTCATTAGGATAATGACTGTGGGACCTG